CCCCGAGAATCGGAACTACATTGGCCGTACGAGCTCCAAGAAGGTTGTGAATTGCGAACCTAGTGTTGGTAGTGATAACTGGATAATACATTGGCCAGATCCTACAACCTAGTGAGCTTTTCCTATACACGTGCAAATCCAACAGGTTAGCCGAATTACTACTTGGTCGGTTACACCCTAGAAGATCTCAACTCTCAAGATCCCGTCACAGGAGGCGGCAAGTACAACGCAAAGGAACTACAAAGGCAAGGGACACACCCGCAAGGCAACCCTACGGCCAGATCCACGATCTAGGCCCCGGATCCATAAGCTCGAATATTCGCTTAGGATTCGGAACCATCCACGGACGCAGAGTGAAGATTTTCCACTGCGGCTCCACCCTATCCCCACGTCTCGCCAAGACACTCAAGCTTCACCACTTGAACTCTTCGGAAGTTACCGAGAGAGCAGATCCCGCCCTACCGACGGGTACACAAGGTGAGGAAAGTTCAGCAGAACACGGATCATCGGGGGACCCCCTCCGTTAGTCGGTGTCTGGGCGCAGTTGGTAAGTTGGATCTGGCAATCTCGCAGATTTTGCTGATCCCGCTACACCACAAGATCTTCCTGTGTTCACTATCGCACATGACAAGCGGAGAGAAGAAGCGGGGCATGCCGTAAGAGTCCGGACTCAGCTGTAGTGGCCCAGGATCTTCGCCACGAGTACGATGGCATCACTACGGACGCTACCCGCGTGCACGTCCTACTAACAACGCACATAGAGCTTTTGCCAAACCCTTCTCCGAATTTCGAGAAGATCCCGACCTTCTACATCATTTGTTCCTGAGAAGTTCCAAAATGACCCATTGTACGACCCGCCGAACGATGAGGACGCGCGCAAAGCAAAATCGATTCGGAAAGATCGTCAGGCTGCGTTCAAAAAGAAGAAGAGAGAGCGCGAAGCTGCCGCCGCAGCAGCGAAGCATAAAAAAGAGACTGCCGGTGTGGCTGAGGCTGCCGGTGTGGCTGAGGCTGCCGGGGAGGCTATGCAAACGGATGGACGAGATGACCAGGAAACTGTCCCGGCTAGTAGTAAGGTTGCTGACGGAAAGTCTGTGTCGCACCAAGAAACGCTCTCGCAAAGAAACGGGATCATCTTTGCCTACTTCAGGGAGAACACGAGTACGATTTTCCAGCGTAGTTCAAAATGATTCTAGCTGCCAAAATGTCTCAGAGCAAGATAAACATTCGATTTTTAAGAAAATCAAAACTTCAGTTTCAAATTTAACACTGAAGGACAGCAAATTAAGCGCTATAAATAGCAACAATCGATCCCTCTAAAAACTTGCATTAAGCTGGCCAATAAAAATATTTAAAAAAAAAACTCATCAAGTCCGGGGAAACTTTTTCAAAGTCGCTTTTCTCGAAAACGGCTGAATGAAAAAAAAATATTTAAGACTCTTATAGCACCTTGCACAGAGGAAGTGCTCAAGGATATTACAGCCCGAGTGAACGTTAGTCCACGTGATCCCGGCCTCAGGGGGAACGGTTTGCTACTTGATCGAGTAGATATAAGACTGATGTATCTATAAGTAAGCTTAGCTTGGGTTCTTTACAAGCTAGAGTTTACCTATAGTGGAGCTAAGAAGTCATGCCCTGACTGGCTCATAGAGCACCTGGTACCATGTACCAGGTGTCCACAAGAGTGACGGGTCACTCTTTATGTAACATGGGGTACACTGGATTGTACCCCGTTACAAGACGTGTCCCTTTCAAAGACGCTTTGTATCGAGGCTGAAGACGGTACATTTGGACGCCACGGACGTATTTTGGGATTAATTTTATAAAACAAACGCTATTAATAAATGAAATTTCTTCTTTTTTATGACGCTTTTTTTACCACTCGTTGAATAAAAGATTTGTTTCTTACACACCGAGTTTCTTAACAAAGTTTCTCCTCGTTCCAACCGGTTGAATTTGGAGCTGCCGACAACATGGGGCGGGGATGCACGATGGACGAGTGGATTCACTTCCAGAAGCTTCCAGAGGAGGGTCGCGTGCCCAATTCGTCCTACTGGTATGTTTTGTGCCGTCATTGCGTGGCCGGCTTCCAGCAAAAGAAACTTTTCAATGCGCCCCCTAAGCTTACGGGTCGCCGATCAGCGATGCGATCGCACCTCAAAGTCTGCCCCATGTACGCCACGCAGTACCAGATGGAGCAGCAGGCAAAGGCTGAGGTGGAAGCGGAGACGGGTGCATCGAACTCGACAACGACCACAGTCGTTACGTCAGCACCGACGTCGACGGGTGAAAAGCGCAAGCGCAGAGCGGACAGAGAGAGCTGTGGTGGGTCCCGTGGAGGCCGTGGCAGGCACTGTATGATGGAAGAGTGGGAGCATTTCACGCGGCTGCAGGATGAAGGCTACATTGGCAAGTCAAATTTCTTCTACGCCCTGTGCAAGTGCTGCCAGCGTGCGTATGACGAGGCCCCTGAGGGTCAGAAGCCGTTGCTCGTGCCGGAGAAGCTCGTGGGCAGACGTGAAAAGATGCGGAAGCACCTCGCGCTCTGTCCGCATTTCAAAGGAGATCTGCCGCCGCTGGAGCGCCGGCTGTTCCAGCGTAACAAGACGAGCGTCGTGGTCAGTGCTCTGGCCGCTGGTGTTGCTGCCCATCTGGAAGCTGTGGTTGCCACCTCTACTTCTGTTTCTGCAACAGCAGACCTGAAAGCTTCTGGGGCTGCTGTATCCCCTGTGGCTGCCATGTTCCCCATCACCTCGTCACGATTGGCACTTGATGAGTGGCAGCATTTCACGCGCCTCGAACGCAAGAAGGATAGCGCATACTATTACGCTCGCTGCAACTTTTGCCAACAGGCGTACGAAAACGCCCCAGAGAACCTGAAGGCGTCAATGGAGCCGGCCATTGTCATGGGCCGCAAGAGCAACATGCAGACGCATTTGTCCAAGTGTCGTCATTTGCCTAAGGACCCATCAGCGATGGCGAAGATTCATAATATAAACCTTAGCGCAACTGCCTCACTGGATGCATCTGGACCAAAGCGTCCCGAAGTGGACGTATCCAGCATGTCTCTAGCGCATTCGGCGGATAAATTTTCTGTGCACCGCTCGCTGGTGCACCTTGTGATCGAACATAACTTGCCTTTTGAATGGGTGGAAAGTGTAAGTGCCAAGCAGCTATTTGGCGCGTTGGTTCCTGCATCTGACGTCAAAAACAAACTTATACCGAGATCGAAAGACTTGCGCACACGTGTCTTGGGTGAAGTTCACAGCGCTACGCTTCTCACTGAGCTCGCGAAGCTGCAAGAGCCCATTCTACTCGAAGTAGGTGCGTCTGCTTTCTCTGCCGATATGGTTGACACACTGTCAATCACACCGGCAGGATCTTGGCCAGTAATGTTGCACTGCAACCTGACTGCCAGCCACCACCCCGGAGATCTGCAGATGCCAGTAATTGACGGCGTCGTAACCAACGGGAATGCGATCACATCGCTTTCATTTATCCGAGCACAACAACCGGAATCGGGCGTGGAGGCAACTTTGGCTCGGTACCACGGCCTCGAGATCGCTCGATGGCTAGATGGACATATCCGACTGTGTGTTGAAGGGACAAAGTTGGCTCTCGCAGCAGTTGTCCTTCCGTACAACACGATGACTCAACGTGCTGTGGGGATTCTGCGTGCACCCTCGCATTGGCCTCGAGTTGCATTCTTGTCTGACATGGAGGATATGCTGCAGTTTCCTTTATTGAAGCTTCTGGCGAGTGCGGAAATGTTTACCGTCGTGTCGTCGCTTATTGAGGTCTGGCAATTGGAGTCCATTCGATCGTGCGTGATTGAGCGGCTATCGGCAGTAAACCATGCTTCCTACAAAGGCCCCTTCTGCAACTGGGAGTCGTGTGCTACGCTCATCCAAGTGCTTCTGGATGAAAAAGCTTTCGCCTCTAGTAGTACGAAGAAAGGAGCTGCCAATGCAAAACGGTTGGTGGAGAATGCGCTGGATCGCTCGCTACTGGAGCGTGTGTATAATCTGCTTCACGCATTCACGAACGCATTGTCTAGCTGTCGATCTGGACAGACACTTTCAGAGACATTGGAGCACTTGGGTGCATTGTTCACTGCTGCTGAAGGATTCGTCACCGTGCAGATCGCGTTGGAGGTGCTGTGGGGGGAAATGGAGCAGCCTCTTTTTGTCGTCGCGCATGCACTGAACCCACGGCTGAGGCTACGTGACCTCAAGAGCACAGACATCACCAGACTGAGCACGCTGAGTGATCTCAGCGTCTCATACTTTAGGTTTCTCTTTGGACGCAAACCGAATTCTCTGCGAGGTGAGGTGACCGCATACTTACACACGTCGCAGCAAGCATTTACGAGTGATTTTGTTGCCGAGTTTCCTGTTGTCGAAGATTATTTCCGCTACTTGAGCGACAATTATCCGTCGCTAGCCATGTTGATGAAAGTGCTGCACTCTTTGTGCTCAGTTTCTGTGGTGGTGAATCGTTCCTCCTCTTCCACTCAGCAAGAGACGACGAAGACCGGTGGCCGTATGTACACTAAAGATGAGCAGCAAAAACTTAATTTCCTGCGCGATCGATGGGGAATTGCGTCTGGCGCGTCGTCGCTGGATTCCAAGGAAGAGCCAAAAGATCGAATTACCGCGCACAACGACCGCAGCGGAGCTGCCATGCTGAACGCTGGTGTCGTGGACGAGTGGAAGGAGGCGCTGGAGTCGAAGCTGCATGTTCGAGGTGTGGACTTTTTTCTTTTGGAAGACAAATTTGATGACTTCGATGATCCGGTTGGTAGTATTACGAAGAAGAGTGAGAGAGGTGATGTTGCAATACGAGGAGACGAAACTGTGCACAATCTCAAGTTGCCTTCGTTGGAACAAGACGATGAACTGGCATACCCGTCGGCTAGCTTACGCACCGAGTTTTCGATGAAGGTGTTGCTAAAGGATCTGTTCAAAACGGCTAGAGGCGACAATTTAGCACAGAGCGTATAATTGTGTAACTAACGTTATTACGCAACTCCAAGTGCACTCGGATGTTCAACGCTGCTATCTACATGTACTGTAGTACGTGTACCAGGTACTTGGACGAGATAGTCGGATGCTGCTGCTGGTTTTCACATGAATCATTTCACTGACATGCAGGCAAAACCTTGCCCTCACAGGGGCCAAATCCTATCCTGTAGCCATTGCCCTGGCAGAACCCAGTGACCGCCACGGTGTCGCCGTCATGCAAAAACTTGCGAGTCGTACCACTGTCTCCGAGCGCAACCTCGCGGGATCCTTGCCAACTCAGCTCGAGCATCGAGCCCAAGCTGTCGTCCGTACTGCCGCTTATAGTGCCGCTGCCTAAGAGATCTCCAGGCCGCATGTTGCACCCCGTTACTGTGTGGTGCACCAGCTGCTGCTTCATGTTCCAGTACATGTTGCGGAAGTTGCTTTTTGTTATGGTGTAGGCTTGGTCGGATCCCTCCGGTTTCACCGAAACCTGCACAGACAATCACACAAAAAGAGAACAAAATATCAGCAGTCTCGAACGTCTCTATGATCGTCCAATTGGGGCTTTACGTTCAGCTTGATGTCGTAGGTACCGCGAGAATAGTCCGGGTCCGAAATGTATGGCAGTGGCGTTGGGTCCTTCTGGACTGGTCCAAAGCTTGGCTCGCACCGGAACGGCTCTAAGGCAGCGAGAGGTACAACCCAGGGCGAAATGGTGGTCGCGAAGTTCTTGGCTCCAAATGGTCCGAGTGGGACGTACTCCCACTTCTGAATATCGCGAGCTAGCGTGCGACACCAGTGTTAGTCTGCTGACTTTATTTGCTGTGAGGAATGGCAACTTACCACTCCAGTCATTCATCAACACCACGCCAAAGATGTGGTCTTCTGCCTTATTCATTGGGACTGGCTCACCGATGTTGCTCGGTGGGCCCACGAAGAAAGCCTGGCCAAAGAAGAACCCATCGTCAGAGCTACAACTGGAGACAAGATCAGTCCACGGCAAGCATCTACCATTTCAAGCTCATAGTCGAGCACACGGCACGGGCCGTAGACGGACCCCTTGGACGGATCAGCCTTGTCGGCCTGCAGCTGGCCGCAGGGACGACGCACACTGGTGCCGGATGGAACGATTGACGAGGAGCGTCCATGGTAGCCGACGGGCAAATGCAACCTGCAATATTACAGTGCACACAGGATAATCACTTTTGAATGACAAGATGAAATCTCTGTTGTCTATTAATACATACCAGTTGGGCTGCAGCGCATTATCTTCTCCGCGGAACATTCGGCCGACGTTAGTGGCGTGCTCGCGCGAAGAGTAAAAGTCCGTGTAGTCGCCCACCCTGGCCGGCAGGTGCATACGCACATTTTTTATGGGGATTAAAGCGCGCTGTCGGAGTGCCTCGTTGTCACGGAGCGTGGACTCGTCGGCGGACAGCAGGCGCTGCACGGTCGAACGCGCCGTGGCCCAGGCTTTGGGGCCTTGGGCCATGAATCCGTTAAGCGTTGGGTCGTGAAAGCAGGCGGCGTGGAAGCCCTCGAAGTGTCCTTCCATTTCGACCACAGACAAGTCTAGAACCTGTATGTACAGTACAGCAATTACAAGAGTCGGCTTTAGGAAGGCCCCCTCCTACGAGACAGAGGGAGAGACATACAAACTCTCCGATGGCGACGCCAACGCGCTTCTTGTCGTTGATTTTGGTGGAGATAATGCCGTACGGCAAATTCTGGATGGGGAAATCGCAGTCGGGGGCGACGGGCACGAAACTCATGGCTGGGCTAGGAAAGAAGCGAAGAACGCTTGCGAACTTGAGCTCTTCTTGGCAATTGAGTGGGATCTTGAAGTCCCGTGTGCAGTACAAATCCAGGATAAGCTTACCGGTAATCCCCTGGTTGAGACGCCCTTTTAGACGAGATGAACAAGCTGATTTGACGCTTCGCACTGGGAGACCTTTCTATCGGTTATTCATATCATACGGCGATACAGAAGCTCCCCTGAATAAGCGTAGGGGGTCGTCTGATTAATTTGCATAGTAAATTCACAGCAATCTCATGATTTGTCTAAAGTATTCCCAATCAATGTGATCGGGTATAAAAGGGTATATGAAGTATTTGCTACGGGGCTCCTAAAACCCATATTTGAGACAACCCAAAACTAAATGATACTTATGAACCTAAGTACGAATCGCGATTTAAGCGCTCTAAACGGCTCCTCTATCTTTTAAGCCCTTATAAGCTGCAGAATGCTTAAAACTGAAGAAGTTGTGGTCGCTCAAAAATATTATCTTCCTTTATGGGCCCTCGAAATGACGATACATTTAGGAGTGTTGTGAGCTCAATATTTTTTCAATTTTAGAGATTTAAGTGTTATTTAAAAACTCTTGTTAAAAGCAATTGAATAAGGGTAGTTTTACAGTTTTTTCTATGGAGGTTTACAATAAATGTCATTGTTTCGGTTAAGTGCGAAAATCAATTGGCCAACTCTAAGCTCGATTATCTCGATAACTCTAAATGGTTCGTAAGTATCATTTTGTTTGACGTTGTCTCCTTTGTAATCATCTAAAGATGAGGTACATGTACAGAAGTCTCCCTGAACAAGCGTAGCATGCACTTCCTATCCCCTAGTATATCGGATCATAAGAATTGGAGGTACAACTGACAAATCACCAGATCGCATTGATTTCCCTACGTAAATATATCAGATGACTTCCAACGCTTCTTCAGGGGGACTTATGTACTTCAAAGTACTTAGTACAATATTCCGCTTCAATAAAGGACATCTTATAAATATGCAATTTACAAGACAAATGCTAGATTACAGGGAGCCATTATAAATGACTAGTGATTTGACGCAAGAGCAGCCACATACAATATTGAAGGCTATAAGCTTTTTTATGTTCTTTATTGAGGCAAATTTCTGTATTTGTGACTAGGCTGGCGGTACCACAGATGTAACGACAACGTGCCCAAGTACCCCTGGTTATACATAAAGTGTACTTTAGTATACATAACGTGTACTTCGGGACGTCAGAGTCCAACCATTGGTTGATGACATAGCTTCACTATTATTGAGCGGTACCGGTTTATGACGGTAAGTACCCATAAACCGGTAACCAAGCCGGTCCAACACGCAGGGGTTAATGGTAACTCCAAAATCGGTGAAGTTAATATTGTGAAAATATCACCTGTAGACCAGTTAATATAAAAAATATCACCTAATATTTTCTTCTGAGACAATATGATATTATTAAATATCAACTTAATATTAGTTAATACGATATTATATTTTTCAATGATTGCGTAATCGAGCTACATTAACCAATCAGATGTCGTTAACGCTCGACTAGCTGAAGTATTACTAATCAACCGTGAGTACCGGGACAATTGTGAGTGACGGCAAGGTTGGCGTTGTGTGTTGGCACTGCTGAGCGCATTAATCTAGCGCCACAGGCAGCAGGTTTATTAGACGCACGATGTCGACGAGGAGATCGGTAGAGAACAAGAAAAAATGTTTTGATTTCGCTCTATCAACGTTAAACAGCTGCAGTTTTCCATCTCGATCGCCTTTGTCTGTGTCACAGTGAAATACTAGAGCAAATACTCGTCAGTCTTAAAGCCTACTGCTTTTCTAGAACCTGATCGAAAAAGTTATTTGGCTCCGCTCGGTTCACAGAGGTAAGCTGGCAAGAAACGTACTTAAGTGGGAAAATATCATAAAATATCATGTAGTATCTAATATTTTTCAGCTCTCCGAGCTAATATAAAAATATTATGTTAGCTTTTGCAAAAATGAGTTACTATTAATATTTAATATCGAAAATAGTACTATTACTATCAAAAATATCATATGATATTTGGTTACCATTAGCCCCTGCCAACACGATCCCGCGATGATTACGGTACGTTGATTACGCTATCGATGATTAGACGAGTAGGATGATTAAACGAGTGTTGGTGATTGGATGACCTAGGTAGTGATGACAGTGTAAGCTTCGATAAATCAATCACTTCGGAGTCTTCCTTCTTCCCCTCAAGTGTCTTCGCTCCGGTCTTCTCGCCGAGTGGTGACTCTTCCCTTCGCTCCGTACTAGCCTAACGTTGCCTAAAACCCGTGACCTCTATCAGGTTATAAGCCCAAATAACATGTCCTCTGCGCAAGACGTTTCAACTAAGGTTTCCATCGACAAGTTCAACGGTGACAACTACGCGACGTGGAGCCTCTACATGCGTGGTGTGCTCCTGACCAAGTCAGTATGGCATGTCGTGAATCGAGAGACGACTCCAAGCTTCACGGACCCTCGTGCGAAGGACGAGTATGTCAAGTCGAGCAACATCGCGCTCGGATTGATGCTGCTGTGGTGTTGGAATGTCCACGTGAACTCTAGCTACAAATGTAGCTAGGACGTTCCCACAACAAAACGTCTACTAGGATAGTAAACGATCGTTCGGGCGGACATGAAGACCCCAGTTCTGCCCTTGCACCGGGACAAACTAGACCTTGTAAACTACTCATATAGGCCAACCAGTAAAAAAAAAGAACACGCTACTAGCACGAGCAAAGCTAGCAGGTGTTTAGAATCCTCGTGGTCCCAACAGCGGAAGGATACCAGGCACGGGTGAGCCTTTTACGAGATCACCGAGTGTTCAACACTCGGTTGGAAGAATAAAAGGGAGGCAATTCAAGCACTCCCAGTCGTGCAAATAGGCAACAATAAGCCGTCACGTAAAAACTCCCGATAGTAATCGGCCAAAATACACAGTCTCTTGGCCTTGCCGGATGAAGCCTCGCTACAGAGCTTCGAGTTCACCAACAGGCATAACACACTCAAACCAGCTTGACCAGACGCTTACCTTGAGGCCGGACGTCGCTCTGTGTGCTTGAGTAGAAATTCTGTTCTGTATTAATGTTTACCCTTTCGGGTCTATTCCTAATAAGAAGTCCTAATCAAGTTTACAAATATCAAGTGAACAATGATCCGTTATGGATTTTCTTGCACGCCAAGCGTCGTCTGCACCGTCGTATGAGTATCTTAAACGGTTCGCGCCCTGTCCCAGACGGTGAACGTGCCTTCCAAGGGCCACTGAGTCTTCCGCGAACTCATCCCAACCGCCACCGAGGGTTCGTACCGTAGATGGTCAGTTCTTGGCCGCTGAATGCGAATCCGGTCAATTATTAATAATAAGGACAGCCTGGATTCAGTGACATATGGACCGTATCCAATATCCGTTGAGAGCTCGGTACTGACGCCGTCGAGTCTCTTGCACCTTGGAGTCACTGTACATCACATGACCGAGGGTTCGTCGCTTGAACAACTTGGGCGGTGTCGCGTCTTTGTCGACGGACGATTATCCGCAACTATGGAGAAATCACTACACCACAACTGCCCCTGTCGCAATGGAAGCCACGGTACAGGTGCCCGTTGTGACATTTCTTCATTCTCCAATTCACCATCCAGTCACCGTATGTCTAAGCGTTTGAATCGGTCTGTGTCCGATGCGTTTCAGCGTCTCAATCCTCGCCGACGTTGCGAACGCGAACAGCTGGAGGTACGTCAACTCATCATCTTCTTGAATCATCGGCGCCTTGCTCATCACCATGCATTACTCGTCTTGTTTCTTAGGAGGGCAAGACCCAGGGTTCGAACGCCCCTCAGCCTGCTACACTTCCCCCGACAGCAGCGTCATCAACCGGCCCTCCAGCACTTCCTGCCCCGGACTCTTCACTCCCTGCGGTAGCTTCTGCAGCACTCCCCGTCGTCGCTGAATCCGCGGAGATGGCTCCTGCTGCTCCTCCTGCCCCAGTTGGTGGTCCTCCACCACTCTCCGAGGATTAGCTGCGCGCCATGCTGGCGGAAAGTACGTCGATCACATGATGACCTCGATAATCCCGTACTTGACTGCTATGGCTCGTCACCAAGTGCAGCTCAGCGTTGCGCCTCCTCTCCACGGCGATGTCCACGCTCAACGTCGCCTCGAGACTGCCGTTGGTTTTGATGATGTATTCGCTGCTGTACAACCTCTTCCTGACGCGCTGTCGGCATTACCCGAACGAGTTGCCAACTTGAAGCGTCAGTTGCGGTTTGCTCAGTCCGAGGCTGCTGCCGCCGTACGTTCGGTGGCACCCGAAATCATGGCTTGTGAGAACGCGGAGGTGTTCCTCAAGGCTGCCAACGCTGAGATCGAAGCCCTTCACCAGAACGTCAAGATTCTCCGCGAGTCGAACGCCAAGAACGACGCCATGCTCGCCAGTGTTCAAGCCACCATGGAGCGACATTCAGAAGACTTGAATCGTCTGCACTGCGAGGTCCAAGCTCGAGACGTTTTCATCGCTACGTTGAACAAGAAGCTGGCTCGTAAACGCGAGGTGTACAAGTCTTCAATTGGTGCTAATACTGAGCAGACTCGGAAGCTTCATCTCCGTCTGGTCAAGCTTGCCCAGGGCAAGTATGTTGACAACGACACGCTCAAGGGCCTCAAGAACCCCGCTGAAGAAGCTCTGCGTGAGGCCGAGCAATTTCGGCTCATGCTCGGCTCAAGTGATGAAGATGAAGAATCGGACCACACTGTCCCACATGGCAAGTCTGCTTCGTCGTCTGTTACGACGTCCAAGACAGTTGAAGTCTCGGGAGTGGTTTCTTCAGCAGGGCCTGTCCCTGTTGAAGCTGCTCCACCAGCCTCCGTGTCTTCAAAGCCGGCTCCGACTGTCCCGATAGCTGCGGTACCAAGCGTGTCTTCGCCCGAATTTTCGATGGAGATTGATGACGATGGAAATGCTGATGACGATCGTGGAGATGACGTGGATGACA